TTAGTGTCGCCTACAAACTGACTGAGGGAGTTTAAATAGAATCCACCTATATTTAGGTTTAATGTTGTTTACAATATTGCCAGCCTGATTTTCAAAAATGCTCTGAGGTCAAATAAACAAATTTTACTTTAGCTTTACAGATGTTTTATTACCTCTGCCACAATTAAAATAATTAGTATTTAATTCACATACATATTTTTCCATTTGTTCTTAGTTTGCTTTTGTACAAACCACTAATACACTATTAAACTTTTTTAGTCCCTATATTTGATATAATTAATCTAACCTAATTTCTGCCTCACAAAAATCAAAGTAGCCCTATCACAGCCAACTGTAGTCTTCAAATCACAGAACCCTCTGCTCATCAAAAAGGGAACACCACAAACACTCTCTTCCACGAGACTTTGACTGCTTTTCTCTCCTTCCAGTACCTGAAAATTATCGCTCGAGCTCACCCCTGAAGGTATCAAACCAGTGCCAATAATGAAGTCAAACAAGTGTCTGTGCCTGTTTGCTGCACAGGCTGAAGGGTCCCGTGAGTCTCATCTTTCTGGCCGCTTGGCCATAACCATTAAACTCTACTTCATAAACCTCTTTTTAAGTTTGCATGACATAGAAAACCAACAGACATGTGACCTTTAAAAATGCTCTTACGGTAATGCCAATGCAGATGAAAACGCAGACTTATAGTTCATGTCCTCCATTTACAGACTACTTTGGGAAACTTGAGCATAGCAAAAAGCTTGACACTAAAAAAACCCCAAAAAGCAGCTTTGTAGCCTCAGCAATTAAATGGGAAAGCAAACAAATAAAAGGCTCCTTAGCCACTACCAAATCCACTTTTCTTGGTATCTATGGAGCTGGATAGCCTAAAGAATATTTTGAAGACTAGCATGTCTGACCAACCTAAATCATACCAGTAGTGTACGTGCACTGAAAAAAATCAGAGATGTACAAGCAGAAACATCTATATGGTGTTAAAGCTGAAAACGTGTGCCTTCTCCCCTGCCCTTGCATTTCCCACTGGCAGTGTAAGAACAGCACCAACAGTTTTCAGATCAGACAGTCATTAAGCTCAAATACATAGCCCTAGCTATGTTCTTCGTTCTCGTCTCCCTTCTGTGTAACAAGCCACGTGCAAGTTTTAATAAAATCAACAACCAAATAGGTGTTTCAACCCTTAGAAATTTCTAAGTGTTTATTTAGTGACATTTGCAAAGCATGCTGAGCTTCGAGACCACTGCGTTAAATGTAAGCGTAAATTTAGCGTTCCTCCCTGCTCCATTTTACTCACGTTCCAGTTAGATCCTTGGAGAAACTGGGGAGGCAGCTTAACCCCCACCTCAGTTTCTCCTGTTTTGGAAGGATACTGATGCTTGCATACTCATAAACTGGAGATTTACTGAGATCCTGGGTCAGCAAATTGTACAAAGCCGTAATTATACAATAAACTACTAACCCCTCTTTTTTAGTACTTTTATAGTAGCTTTGTAAATGCCTTAGGCACTGGACTGAGTCCATGTCGTACAGCAGTGCCACAGCTGGGAAACAGGAAGCTGGAAGCCAGCATAAGTTACTGGTAAAATAACAAAACAAGCCTTAAGTTCGAAGGCTCGAGTTTCTCAAAGGAATGACACTCCACTTGGGAATTCAAGTATTTCTGCAGCTGCAAAGACACTGCCACCCACACGACGAATCCAGGAAACACCTCCCGTTTCAGAGAGAATGCTACTGCGCAAACAATCTAAGCAGAGATGCTAAAGCAGTCTGTAAGTGATGGTTGTACATGGGAAAGCCCTTGGCGTCAGCTGCACTGACATCCAGCCTTGGCGACAACAACGATACCTCTTAGCGTGCGTTCTGCCTCAATCACTGCATCCAAAGGTGGGGGTTCTATCGCTTTGGCCAAAAACTGGCCAATTCCTCCCAGGCGCAGCAATTTGATGCTCAAAGCAATTTCGTGAAGTGGTGTTCGAAACATTTCGGGTGTCATATGAGTCTGAAGCCTGGAACGAGAACAAAAAAGCCCACATTTTTCTGAACACAGGCTTTGATCACCATCATGGGTCACTGTGTCAGCACAAACTACCACCCTCAAAAGCAAATACTGCCTCCCAGTCAACCCATCAACTCTCACTGAGCTCCTGCAACTTAAGCTCTTCTACCAGTATTTTTCTTCCGTGTTTCTCAATTCTCACCTCCGGGTAAATTCACAACGGAAATGCACAGAGGGTATAGCCCTCACATCACCACTGCCCAGCGTGGTGTCTAGCACGAGCTGACCCCAGAGTCTGCATGGCTGAAGGCCGATTCACAGCATGGCTGCATCCAGCCCCACACTTTGCCCCTTACAACCATCTCCCACATCACTACAGAAGCCCTTCCACCCCCGAGACAGACAACCTGCTTTCAGCCTGACTTAGGCATGAGCACTTCTCTACTTGTCTTTCTCTCAGCCCCGAACCCCCCAACTCCTCCTGCACATTTCTGCTTTGATCACTAACAAGAGCCAGTATTTTTTCTGGATGCTTTCCAAAGGGGCTTTTCTGGTAGGAAAAAAGACTCGATGGAAACAGATGGAGCTCTTCAGTCTCTAGCACAGTCTCATTAGTGATCCTTCAGCTTGCTGGCTGAAATACGAACTCCTAGGAACGACTGCACTGAACAACAGACAGGTAGGAAAGACTTCAAAACACCTTGAACAGATATCCAGATTCAGCTGGCACCAGATTTAGATGGCATCTCTCCAAAGATTCCCTGCGCAAGCCCACAAACACTCCTTCCTTCCTAGGCACCATGGAGCTAGAGCCTGAAGGAAGGTAACCTTACAGTCATGAAGTGCCCTAATTAGTTCAGTAGCCTAAAATCAGTTCGTTGTCAAAAATTCTTCATTAAAATCACTCCACTGTACTAAATCTAAATAAGAATTGTGCAATTTAAGGAAAGTTTTTCATCAACTGATGCTTTCAGAGGTTACAGCAAGCTGAACACCAAACCACAGCTATGCTGTCCGAGAAAGGGGCACTGAAAACTTCCATGCGAGAGACCAAATACTGAGCGCACAGCTGTGTAGACGTCTGCAACCAGCACAAAGATTTCCATGGCTCTAGTAACTGAGAAACAGCTTAGCAGATAGAACAGGTCAGAAGTTTCAACAGCAGGGAAGGTGCTAGAACAGCAGTTCAGCAGCGTGAAGGAGCTTTCTGGCTACAAAATGGGGATGGAGGGAAAAGTAACATCTGCCTTCCCTGCTTGTTACCCTTTCATGACAAATTGCCCGTTTTGTGAAGATACCTGTTAGTGAAGTCCGCCCTGCCTGAAGGCAGACTAGAGCCTTATGCTCATTACAGAGTTCTTCTCTGCACTGCCTCAGTTCTGCCGGGGAGACCTTATAGCACCTTCCAGTACCTGAAGGGGCTACAAGGAAGCTGGGGGGGACTTTTTACAAGGGCCTGTAGTGACAGGACACAGGGCAACAGGTTTAAATTGAAAGTGGGGAGGTTTAGATTAGATATCAGGAAGAAGTTCTTCCCAGAGAGGGTGGGGAGGCACTGGAACAGGTTGCCCAGAGAAGCTGTGGATGCCCCATCCCTGGAAGTGTTCAAGGCCAGGCTGGATGAGGCTTGGAGCACCCTGGTCTAGTGGAAGGTGTCCCTGCCCATGGCAGGGGGGTTGGAACTAGATGGTCTTTAAAGTCCCTTCCAACCCAAATCATTCTGTGATTCTATGATAATTCCCAAGCAGCATTATTTTTTTCTGAGAGGCTCTGTAGGTTGCAGTGAAGATCCTAACAATAAAAGCATGAATTATTTATCCGCCCCATGCTATGGGTAAATGCATATAAACATATGGAAATGGTCTTCAAGCAACAGAACTGCAGTATTGCAGTGTGAAGTGACTTTATGCATCTCCCCTCTGTGCTTTCTGAAATGATTTGCCCAGTGTGATCAGAGGTCGCACACAACGGTTCCAGGAGGTCTCTGAGGTTATTGCACTTCTGAAGAGCACAGCCTCACCTTTCAAAGCGAGCTCTGCTGCACAAATGGAAACAAAATCCAGCACGCACACGTCCGGCTCTTCCTTTCCGCTGCTCCAAATTCGTTTTTGATGCCCAGACTGTGGCATAGTTTGTCATGTTATTATGAGCGGTGAACAGCTTCACTTTTTGTCTGTTACAGAAAACAAAAATCCAACGTAAGATCAGATGTTCTTCATCTTAAGTCCTTACAAAACAGTTCCTACTGGATTTCTTACAGCCACACTGCTTTTAAGAGGCAACCCACCTCTGTCTGACTAGCTAGGCTTTGGCTGGTTAGCCATCTGTCTGCAAGTGTTACACTCTTTATAAAGCAGTGTCCCAGGCTATGCACAGAATGAAGTGTTCACAACAGTCTCAAAAACTTTAAATTCCTCATGTGTTTAGCGATATCCCTGGGTGTAATTTGCTCAGAGAACAAGCACAGCAAGACAGGACCTGTAACAGACTACAAACATCTATTTTTCATCAGCTACGCACGGAGTGTAAGGTTCATTTGGCAGACGACATATTACAAAGAGGCCTGGAGACCCAGTGACACCTCAGATGAATAGTGCCAGGGTGAATGCAGCTGACCAAACCCAGCCCTCTGAAATGCCAGTGGGGTTTGTAAGCCTGTGGGTCAGCTGAAGACAATGCAAACTTGTCTTGAGTGAGTTAGAGACCTCAGATTCAGTTCTGTGACCAGGGGAACACAAGGCAGTTCTGTGTATTCAGAAAACCTTTTCTGCATTCCAAAGAACAGGATGCCCAAAACAAAAAGCTGCTTGATGAACTCACTTGCAGGAGTCTATAACATAGACCACATCATTGATGGTAATGCTAGTCTCCGCAATGCTGGTAGATAAAATAACCTAAGAAAACAGGAAACACACACTGAAATATGTTTGGTCTGAAAAAGTTAAGGACAGACTGCAAAATAAACTACATTAACTACAGTAAGGTAAAACTACATAACCTCTATTAAAAAAAACAAAAGCACAACAGAACAGAGCGTGTTACTCTCCCCACAGAGAAGGCTCTCGTACTTTCGTTACTCCGGGAGGCACAGGATCAAACACTCGACGCTGTTCTTCCAGAGGAATTTGGGAGTGCAGAGGTAAAATTCTATACTGGCGGCCTCCTACAACATGAATACAAGAAAGTCGATAACTACTACTGTGTAATGTCATTTCTTCTTTGCACAGCATCATCAATTTCTACCCATTCATTCTCATGGCAAATCAATCCAGCTCTCTAAACCACCCGGCCAACTCCCATCTTCACACAGTCAGTCGTTTCCTTTGGAAAAGGAGATCAAACCTAACAGAACACAGTTGCTTGTACCGAAGCATGGATTCATTTCAAGATGCTTCTGCATTGTATATATCAAATTCCAGCCAGGCAAGAAAACAAGTACAGCTCCCGGGACGTTCAGGGTCTTGATATAAAGTAGCAGGGCCTCAATGAGTTCAAAAGAAGTTTCTTTCTCATTCAGCTGAGCCATGGAGTACTTCGTTTCCGGGCCATATTCATCACTGCAAATGAGGTTACAATTGGCCTACAAACAACAAAAATGAAAAACCAAATGAACAAACCAAAGAAACCCACCCAAAAGAAATCATACAAATTCACTTTACTCAACCTGTGGAGACTGGCTGGGGAGGCAGGGAGGAAAATGAGATGTGTGGATAGGGAAGACGATCTCAGGCAGAGCTCACAGAAGGACTCACAACAAGCAGTTCAAGTCCTGCTTCCTCAGCTTTCTAACACAAGAACGGAATTATAATTCCATCGCGTTGAGTTAGAACTCAGTATGAATTTGCAGTGGGAAGCTATCAAACTAATCTGACTTCCATTCAGATGAATGGGTATAACATCACAAGGAGAAGAAAATGCTCCTCCCAAGAAAAACTAAAAATTTTTTTAAATTTCAAACAACTGACCACAACAGTACTTTCAGACCTACAAATTAAAAGCTGTGTATCACGACAGTGATAGTTTCTTGACACTGTATGTAAACACTATCAACTGCAAGAGAAGGGAGAGAATCTAAATTTTCACCCTTAAAAAGTATCACCCAGCTCACATTTATGTGTCTATTTCTTCTTTCAAGGTCACCAATGTTTTCACTTTTAAAAGCATTTCAGTTCCATCTTTGAAGAGAAGTAGGCTGACAAAACATTAGAATTGTAGCTTCAATTAAAAAAAAAAAAAATCTTCAGTTTCCAAGGGCAATGAGAAAATTCAGTTCTATATCTGCAGTTAACAGCAATGTTGGATATTAAAAATATGAAAGCTGCTAAAAATGTAGCTAATGTAGCTGCTAAAAATGTTCAATAATGCTAAATGAGTTACACTTGAGTCCTATCTGGCATTTTTTAATATGAAAAATTAAACAAATCAAACATACATCATCATCTTCACCACTTTCTTCATCCTTCTCTTTCTTCTTCTTTTCCTTTGGCGGAGGAACGAACTGAGTCATCTGAATGCAATCTTCCAGAAAGTAATCTGCAAGGACAGACAGGCACTGCTTACCACGACTGACCACTGAGCCTGTGTGAGGGAACACAATCCTCCCGATCCTACCTCGAGATTCTCCTGACGGAACCGTGACGTTTCATATGAATGCAAGATTGGAGGAAACTCCTTGGCTGTCATTTAGGCTATGAGAAATATTCCCACACTACTCCAATGATTATTCCTCTATTCGATATACTTCCACCTATTTTTTTACTGGTTTGTTTGTCTGTTTTTAATACTGGGTCATCTGAAGTTATTTCCATTACTCCCAGTATCACAGACAATGGACCTAAAGGACTGCAGCTTGAGTATTACTACTTCATTCTCCAACAGAAACTACCCCAACGTGGTAGTGGTTTAGGGCAGTTTTTGGTCTTGCCAGTTAGGGTTTTGGTTGTAGGGTTGGTTTATTGGGCAGGGTTTTTTTGGGGGGGAAGGAGGGGGGTGGAGGCTGGGAGTAGTGTTGTTCATTTGTTTGGCTTTGGTTTTAAACCAAATGGTGCTGTGAAATGATTCAGCGTTAACGGCTTCTTTGCCCAGGGTAAGCCACATCAGCCAGACACAACAATCCAAAAGAAATGTGCATACTGCCGTACCCATGTTCCGACATCATACGACTGACAAAATAAAAACTACAGCAGTTCTTGAACGTTCCATCAGCGGATTTACCTTGGACAGGGTAGGTTCTACCAAAGACTTCGATGATAGGACAATTGAAGAAGTATTCACAAAACATACTAGTATCAATGGTGGCAGACATGAGGATAACCCGGATTTCAGGGTACGTCTGAACTACATCTCTCAGCACCACCAAGAGAAAGTCAGTCTGCACATAAAGAGAATAAAAGCATCATTAATTTCCTACTCATAAGAAGCAACACCTTCCCAAGAGACCAGAAAGAATTACACAGGTATATACATTTATCAAGCAGGATCTTTGCTGAGTGAGAGAAATTACACTTCTCACAACAACGTTCTGTAACCAGAAACGGTTGCCAGTGTTTCATTTTGCAAAGTCTGCAATTCCTAGGATAAGTAAATTTTATGATTTTCAGTGTAAAGAAAAGCTATTCTTTTACCAGAATGAAGCAAACCAAAAAAAGCACTAAAGATTAGTCTGCTTCCTTCCTAACTCTACACTACAACCTAAGGTCTTTTTAAACCTGGTTTATGTACAGAGTAGCCATAGTTGATAAAATAAAGAGGAATGCCTCGGTGCAACTGTATGCAAAGTTTTACAGTTCTATTTAAACAGGGCATTTATTTAGCTTTGCCATGCAGTTAGACACGCCCTTAGTTCACGAAATAAAATTCCAATCTCACGCAAAATTTGAAAACTTCTACTTTACATCAATAACGCAAGCTTAATAATGAAAGAGATGAGAAAAATCTGCATTGCAATTCCATCTAAATGAGTCTCTAAATTCTGTCAAAACAAGCTTAAACGGCATGTCAGAACTTAGCAGTTTCTCTCACTCTTGGTGTGGCAAGGCTGAAAACAGTACAGAAGAGTCAAGGGGACAGAAAACGTTTCCCATTTCTTAAGTGACATACAATCCCTCCCTCAATTCTATTTTCAACTTGTTGCATTTTCCTTTGTGTCAAAACCAAACTGTAATGTGCCACTATCAAGACAGCAGCTTCTGTAAATACCACTGCTGTTCCTTACAGTAATACAACAGTGTCAGCAGAAAAAGCACTCCAAAATAAAAGTGACATTCCACATGCTCCCACTTTTAGCCAGGAAGCGCTTGTACCACGGTATTCTATTTTCCAGGAGGAAATATTCCAGAAGGACCAGGACATAGGAGGAGATCCTAACAGGCAATAGAGATAGGGCAGCAAGTAAGCACAAGTCCCTGCTCTTTTCATCAAGTAAGGAGTAATTAAGAGAAGAATTTATAAAAATCTTATCAAAGATGGAAAACTACACGTATGACAATCAGTAAAAAGCTGTTTCCATTCACATGTTTACTGTTACACAAGGACACATGCAAGAGTTAAACAGAACAGAAGCACAGAGAAATGGGATTGTAATCACCAGGTAACTCACATTAATATCTCTCTCGTGGATCTCATCAACAATAACATGACTAATGCCACGGATCCCAGCCTCCACTTTTCTCAGAAGAACACCTTCAACAGACACAGCAGCTGAGTGTAGGTAGCAGCTCAGTCTTCCCCCCGCCCCATTTCATCAAGAACAGTTGCACTGGTTTAAAAACCCAGAAGCGCGCAGGCTGCACAGCACCCTTTGCAGCCCCATCTCTAACTGCCAGGCTTTCTTGGTGCAAGTGATGAGGAAGCTATGAAGATTTACTACTAGACAGAATCTTTCTTCTTTCCCGCCCAATACTGCTCCCCCTTCTGTCTTTTAAGGACAATCAACATGTGGCAACTTTATCTCTTCGGGAGCCTGTTTCTGTGTGGTGTTGGACCTGTATGATCATACTCGTGAACAGCCACCTTAACCCTTCTCTGCACAACAGTACATCAGCAAACTTACTCTATCAAACATTGTTAATATTCTGAACAGATCTTCTAAAAACGTGAAGGTAACCATGTTTCTGCTTTTGCTGCTAACTCCAAGAATTCAGACCCCTAATTAATAAAGCCCCAAACATAAACAGTACAGACCTACAGTGCAGAACATCACGCTGGCATGAGGCCGAGGCAGCACAGATTCAAATCGCACGCTGTACCCACAGCTTTGCCCAAGCTGCTCTCCTCTCTCGTACGAGACACGCTCTGCTACAGAAACTGCACTGATCCTCCGCGGCTGAGGGATGAAAAGGTTTACTCCAACTTAATGACAAAGTTCTGCACGTGTATCAGAACACCACCAAAACCAAGAAGTTATGAAAGCTACATGTCCTGTCCTAAGATTCCTTCATAGATTAGTCATTAAACAGTAGTATCTATAGCAGCAGGCTTTTCTCTTCTGAAATGGTTAATTCTGCAGGTAAAATTACAGAGGAGGGATATAAGGATATGCAGGAACTACCAGCTGGCATTTGCCAAATCGTTTCTCTTTGGTCTGCCAAAAAGGTTTCACCCACACAAGGTACAAGCCAGATTATCCCAATTGCAGATCCATGAAAAAATAACACTCCCAATGAAAATATACACGGTGCTGAGGTTTCTCCTACATGTAGTGCTGAGAACGATGCCCTGGAATGGTAATTTCTCAACACATCCTAAAGGGTGACTTCTAGCATCCGATCACAAAACTTCAGCGGTTGCATTTGTAACATACCCCTCACCTGTGTCACTACTATGTTGCACTCTGCAGCTCTATTGGTTTTGATGTACTCATCCAGGATGTACTGGGGCACTTGCGTGGTTTTGCCACAACCAGTGGCACCACGAATGATAACAACAGAATTGTGATGGATTGCATCCAGAATTTCACCTTCAAAATTCTTCACAGGTAAGGCCTCTCTCTCCTGTTGGATCTGGAAAAAAAAAATCCAGCACATTTCCAAAAATCTCCACAATCAACCTATTCTGCTCCACATCCATATTTTGTCTCACTCTTCTACACATTTTTCTTACGTAAAGGAAAACTGGGGAAGAACAAATAATAGTTTGTATTTTGTTTTCCTTACACAGCGCAACACATGCCCACATCCATCCTAGGGTAACATGCAGCACTTCTGAAAACTTGGTGCGTGCGACTACTGAAACCCAGTCTTAGACATGCTGGATACGAGATGTTCAACCTCTTTTGGAAAAAGATTACAGCAAGCATGCCACGTTACAGGAAGCGCACTTACCCGTTGTAGCTCCTCATCCTCCTCCAAACGGTACATGAAATCACCTTTCAAATCCATGCTTATTTGCTCTGGAGTGAGCTGCAAAGACAAGACACTGTTCGGGGGCTTTCTGACACCTCTGCTTACCCATATCTTAACTTCAACATAAAATCAGTCACACCAACATACTGATTCCAAATATCAGTAAAGGATCATTTCCCACAGAACTCCCTGAAATCGGTGATGCCTACGAGCTATTCTGCTTCGTTCATTCCAGCGTGTTAAAATGAAATGGCCAACCTCAAAGAAGTTTCTGAGAAAGATCCAATATACTGAAAAAGAATAATTGTTTCAATTTAAATAGTTCAACTGCTTG